CGCCGCCATGTCCTGAGCTAGATTGTTCAAAATTGAAGTTGTAAATCCATTGCTGGGTGAATATGATCGATTATCGGCCCTGCTGGTAGACATTACATAAGAACCTGATTGAGTTTCCAATAGCTCATCTGCGAATCTGGCTTGCTCGTCCAGCGTTGTCGAACGAAGGATTTTTAAAAGTTTTTGAGTGCTTGGGGGAAGCAATGCCAACCAACGCACGCGTAGTACGTCTTCAGTTGCTCGGTCACCCGCCAAGGCTGTCATTTGTCGAAGAAGCTGGCTCGGTTTCTTATCTCCGAGTTGCAATTCTGTTAAAGCTTTATGCAGCTGTCGATCAGCTGAATCGGTGAATCTGTTGATGATTTCAGATTTTAAATGATCGTATTTGTTCGTCCTGGGAGGATTCCTTAAAACATCCGATACCTCTATCATCGTCTCAGCATCTAACGCCGTGATAAGCTGATTATATTTAGCACCGTCCGAAATGATTTTGTTGCATTGAAATTGTGCTTCAATTTGTATAAACCACATGTTAGGATGATTCTTCCAAAAAGGAGGCAGTCTGCAGGTAGCTACAGCGTCGACATTCATAGAAGGTACGTACGAACTCAAAAGTAGTGGTTCGCCTATTAAGCTTTGATTGTGACCTTGTGCTTGCTCTCCCGGGTTTGTGTTTGAGGCAGGAAGAAACGGGCAGTCATCCTCCGGAACAGGATCTGCTTGTTGTTCGCGAGACATAATTATTGTTTCACTCGAATCTGTAAATTTGCGTATAAGTTTAGTTGTTCGAGACAAAAATAAAAAAAGGTATATAAGTTCTTGTTTGCAGTACGAAGCGGCTGGAGTGGGCCAATTGACCGGCACACGATGCACACTATTGCACGAAATTGTTATAGTTTTGTATTGTTTGTAGCACGTGGCACGTCACAGGTCAACACGTATTTTAGAGTTTCTAAGTTCTTTCGGGGTCACCAATTATGGGTTTACAGGGGTCCCATAAAACTGCTTTTAACGATGTACAAACTTTATTGTTGTATCCACAAGAAAAACACGTAATTATTATTGGAATAAACAAGAAAAATCATGAGTTGAGCATTGAGCGGTTCTTTTCGGCTCTGGTTGACAGATGACAGTTGACTTCGGATCTTCTTTTTTCTAACATTCAGTACGAACTGTCAACAGCTGTTTTCGGCGACTCACACGCCCTCTCGGGGCTAGCGGCAGAGTCGTTACCGGATCAGGTGGAGCAGGAACCGCCACAAAAGTTCATTTAGATTGGATTGAAGTTTCGTCTATAATCAGTATTTTGCGCCTCTTTTTCAAGTTACTAGAAACTTTATAAATGATCCTAAAGTTAGACTACTTTCTTTACTTAAAAATTCTGGAAGAGAGTATAGTTATAATCAGTATTTACATCGCCTCTTTTCAAGTTACAAGAAATTTTTTAAATGATCTTGAAATTACATTTCTTTACTTAAAAATGCTAGAAGAAAGTATAGCTAAAATCAGTATTAATAGCGCCTCTTCTTCAAGTTACAAGAAACTTTATAAAGGATCATACAGTTAGACTTTCTTTACTCAAAAATGCTGGAAGAGAGTGAGAGTATAGCTAAAATTAGTATTTGTAGCGCTTCTTTTTGAAGTTTTTGGACAAGAAATTATCTAAATAATCCTAAAGTAACATTTTCTTTATTACCAGAAGAGAGTATATAGTTTTTAGTATAAAAGCTTCCTAATCTTGTAAACATACCAATGCTACTGTTACTGGATAATGAGAGAAATAGGACTAGTAACACAATATAAAATAAAGGAGACGAGGCGGGATAAGCGGTGCACAAAGTCATCATCAGAAGTATTTTTCTCGAAAATACTTAGTACCGAAAACAAATTGGACAGGTGATTAAAAAAACCAATATATTTTCGGCGTGAAACAAAGGACCCGGCCGGGCGGTAATAATTTCTTAGTAGGGTATCCTCGACGATTTTCGACTCGGAGCAGTCACCCCCCGCAGCTAAAATCGTCCGACAAAAGCGAAGTGTCAGTGGAAACTGTAAAAACGCCAGGTCAGAAGGCATTTTTAACGTCCACTTTTCGGTCGAATGTCCTTTGTGTAAACATGTGTTTGGGTTATTACGTCTTTTACGAGGAATTACAAGTAGATGATACACGGGATGACAGTTCGAATGAATAATACATATTTTTTTAATTAAATTCGTAGGAACGTTTAATTGGTTGTTAATCCTTGATCGCTCAATCATCGAATAAACTTGATTTTAAATGTGTATGACTGAATGGTTCAAGGATTATCTAATACCGTATTTTTTTTTCTAAACGGGACTCTTCTACTACTATTAACCGATCCACCTTCGCACGAAAGGCTTTTGTGCCGAAAGAGAAGTATCGAGTGTCAAGTGCGTTCCCATGATCGTCAATAGGAATCTTTTCGCAAAAGTTGATACCTATAAAAGTTACATTGAATAGAATGAATAGAAAACACAACGCGGCTCGTAGTTTACTTTACTTGTAGTGGTCGTGGGTCCTTCCATTGTGAAAGCACCACTGCGACAGGTTGAGAATTTAATGCAGCACTAAAATGTTGTTTTTTGATTGCGAGAATATTTAGAAAAATTCTATTAAAAGACTTAAATTTGTACATACTCTTCAATAATACATTCTTAATTAGCTTATTAGAGAAGTGTATAAATAGTGTTTTAATAATCAATATAAGAAGAGATTAATTAAAAATTAGCATTCCAATCAATTCGACGATAGTTTATTCCCAAATCTCGAGAGTCAACATAAAGATAAATTTCATTTTACAAGCTTAAAAAGGCATCAAAACCCCGACAGATAATCTTTTTACGACCGGGCGGCATCGGAACGGGTAGCACTTGTGTTTGGCACATTGTAAACTTTTCAAAATTGCCATTACGAGTTCGAGAAATGCACCCAGAAGGTTGACCGACGGTCATTATCGGGATGTAATGCAAATTTTGACGCCGCAGCGGCGTACCTCTTAATTTTCTTCAAACACCCGTATAAATTTGGTAGATTTTTCCACGATATATCTCCATGCACGCGAGAAATTGCCTAAGAAAATATACTAAAGTAGCTATTAGGGTAGGGTAGATGTTGGGTAAAATTACTAAAGCTACGCCGCTGGTTCGTCCGCTCTCACAGCACTAAATCAAACATCCCGAACATGTTCAATGCCATAAATCAAGTGCTACTATGGGACCGATGACGACCGCCACTGGACAAAGGGGCGCGCATTTGCCAAAAAGATAGCCGAGTTTCTTTTTACAATGTAACATCGGAAAAAATGTCGCTTCGATAGGCGTGAAAATCACTCGCTTCTTAGCCAAGTTCGCTCCTATTGTTCGATGGGGGTTTTTAACAAACAATTCGGGCGGTCCTGCATTCCTATAAATGACATTAATTTCGTTGCAAGACATATTTGCTAATTGAAAATGAAGTCTTTTTTATTCTTACTCTTCATAGTTCATATAGGGCTTCATATTTTGTTTAGGAGTGCATTTAAGGGTCATATTTTATAGGAAAAAGAAGTCCATCTTCGCCAAATAATACTCCTCTCAAACGACCCCTTTCATTTTCTATAGATACTTCCTTATAAAACACCCTAGAAAATCTGTTATCATAAGATTCTTGATTCATAGATATTATGTATCTTCGAAAAAACCAAGAACATGAGCAGTAGCATTTAACATCGATAATACCCGTAACGAAATGTAATCCCAATTTGTCTGGGACAGGACTCTCCGAGAATTTCGAAACTAATCCCGTCGAAATACCGTAATTTACAACACTTTAATCTCCGATTTGTACAAACTCCATCAGAAAGCTGGAATAACAAAACGGAGACAGGAATAATTGGATTCTCGAAATTTACCCCCGCTGGTCCTCGAACAAAAAGCACCGACGTCGAAACTTTAACCAGCGACACGCTGCGATAATCTGCGGATTCCTTTACCCACAACCACGATATTTGTTATTTTCCCAAATCAATATTTACCAAATTTCCTAAAACATTTTAATCCTGCACGAGAAACGATCGTACGCACAGACAACCTTTTCCAATGAAAACCGCTTATCATCCGCATCGGGAACTCCATTACAGCGCAGAGCAAGATCGGCTCTAAATTAGAAATATTTAATAAATTTCGTTAGGCCAAAGGTCCGTCCCAAAACACACCTTATAATTACGAAATAAATTTCTGGCTGCATAAATCACCGGCTTACACTTGAAGCGCATACGATCCACTCCGGACCACCGCCAGATAACCATCTTCATCATGGTTCGACAAAAGACAATGACGTTATACCGATGTATATACCTGCAGTTGCTCGGAAACGTCCAACTGCACTCGATGAACTTTTCTTATATGATAGAAAAATTAATGAAAGGAAAGGAATTACGTCCAACTGGGCTCGAGGAAATTTCCTATACGATAGAAAAATTAATGAAAGAAGAGAAATTAGGTGCAAATAGTGGTGATTTCTTACCAGTAAGAATTGGTTGAGGATGAATTTGTGCTAAAGAATTTGAAGAAAAAAGTAAATCAGAAGAAAATATCTGCATCAGGATTTTTCTTGAAATCCTAGTAGTACTATCAAAGAGAAACTAACCATTTAAACAATTTTCGCAGCAGGTGAACATTCTTGTCTAAAAAGGATTAAATTCCCTACCAACAAGGATCTACTATATCTGCAAGGATAACATAAAGATTTGAAACTAAAGAAATTCCGGTGCAGTTCTTTTTTCCATCAACAGGCTCCCTTCGAAAAGGTCGCGGCGAGCGAAAGACGAAATAAAAAAACCATCAAGCGGTCCTTCGACATCCCCTTCGGGTCCGGATGGCCCGGAGCCGGATCGTGGCGCAACCCTCTTGCGCATCCACGCCCTCGGTCATCAAGATCGTCATCTGTTTCTCCTAGGCGACGCCGCAATCTCGGCCAACTCAGTTATTAGTGCATCGTTTAAGTGTCGAGGTTGTTTCGAGCATGATGATGGCATCCTCGGTTCCGCTACATCAGTATCATCAAGGCGGCGGCGCGCAGGCGCATCAGGTGCGTGTGCGGTTTTTTAATCATAGTAATTTTCGATAACGACCCCTCATTAGCGCTTTGCTCGATTTAGTGTGATTTTTGATCACGTGATTTGGTATTGTTTGATTGAATGCTTGTTGGGTGGAATTAATTCGAAAAATATATTTTATTGGTTTCAATTTTTTTTTTTGAAAAAGAGGGTTGGTAGTTAAAAATTAAGAGTGCAATTAGTGAAATTTTGAATTTTTTTTGGGAAATTTTTAGTATTTTTTTACTATCATTTTAATTCATAGTTAATTGTTAACATTTTTGAACGATCTTTTGTAGCGAGTCAATATAATAAAAATAAATGTAAGATATTATAATCACAGAAGTACAGTAAAATCGACTAAATTAAAAATATTATTCTACAAAAAGATGGAAAAATTTTACTTCATAAAAATTTATGTTTTATATTTAAATGAGATACCATTATAGCTTAAATTTATTTCTACTAACCAATATTTAATAAAGTTACACTTTACTAAATAAGGTTTAATTTTATAATTTTTTTTAAAGTTAGGAAATCTTTGACATATATTTTATTTTCGTTATTCTACGCTTGAATTAAGACATTCCAATACCGCATAGTCATTTTTTATTTTTTCAAACCACCAACTTCAAATGACCCTATATAAAATCACTCATCAAGTTAATAAATTTAAATGAAACTAATTTTCTATTTATTTCCAGATCAGCCCTCTAAACCTACTAGCAGCCACGTGCAATCGAATCTACAATCACCAACCATACCCTCATCACACCCAACTATCACCAGCATCTACAACCTCCTGCAGCAGCGACGGCTACGTCTCCCAAATACCCCTCGAAACCGCCCGATCCCCATTGGAATACTCCCCGCATTACCAGCCCAGCTACACCCACGCTTACTCCAACCAATACTGGTTCCAACACTCCCCGCCGCACGGAGACATCGCCACCAGCGGCTACCAGCCCAACAACCCCCAATACCACCAGCAATGGTCGCAGAGCAACTACATGACCAGCTTCGCCTCGAAGATGATGGCCAAGCCGGAGATCGGCTACTCGTCGAAGGCGCGCCGCTGCATCAAGTGCCAGTGCCCCAACTGCGTCAACGAGGAGAACGGCCTGCGGAAGCCCAGCTCGAAGAAGGTGCACATCTGCCACTACCCCGGCTGCGACAAGGTCTACGGGAAGACGTCGCACTTGCAGGCCCACCTACGGTGGCACACCGGCGAGCGGCCGTTCATCTGCAACTGGCTGTTCTGCGGCAAGCGCTTCACCAGGTCCGACGAGCTGCAGAGGCACCTGCGGACGCACACCGGCGAGAAGCGGTTCGCGTGCACCGTGTGCTCGAAGCGGTTCATGCGCTCCGATCACCTCACCAAGCACGTGAAGACGCACAAGAACGGCGCCGGCAAGGGCGACAAGGAGGAGCAGAAGGCCAAAGGGGACGCGGAGCCGCCGTTCAAGCTGCAACCGGCCGGCGAGGGGGCGACGACGACGGCGTCGCACCGGCCGCAATTCGACGCCCAATTATCGCATTCGTATAGTAATTTGTATTTGCATAATTACAACGAGCAGTGATTGAAGTTTGGGGGAGTTCGAGTGCAATTTTTTACGTTCGCGGGACCACGAGTATAATTAACTTTACTGGGTGTTTCGAAATTAGTGTTGGAAAATGTGTTAACATTTCAAGAGAAGAGCGATTCTTTTTCGATAGTCAGTCAAAAAGGTTAAGGTTTATTATGCTCTCAACATCCTCAGGGTGGTGAAAAATTTGATGAAGGAGGCATTATGATAAACTATTTTTTATATTTTATAAATAGTTATAGCCCTGAAGGAGGTTTAATAATAAATTGGAGTTTTTTTATAGTTTAAATTTCAAAAATTATCTCTCAAATTCTAAGAATATTCATACTAATCTCGGGACGCCTTTTATACTGTACAAATGTATATAATTATTTTATTTTGTTAATAAATGTAATTTTTAAATAATTTATAACTTGTTTAATTTTCATTATAACCTCCCACAATATTGGATAAAAAATTGAAAATTGCATTTTTTTAATATATTATTCCCAAAAATCTAAGTTTTCCTTTTATTTAAAGAGTACTCTTTGCCTTTTTTTTGAACCACTTCACACAAAATAATTTTCAATTTTTTTAACTTACTCAATAAATTATAATTAGAATACATTACATAATAAATAAATGCAAAATATACACTAAAAAATTTAACAATATTATAAAATACTTTCATTCATAAACCCATAAGTAACGAACTAGCTACACGACATTATCCATCAATATAAAATCCACCTTTACCTAATTGGTTTTGTTAATTATTATGATAGAATAGCTGCTTCAGAATTAGGAATTGATCGGAATGATTTTCCTCGATATAAAAGCTACATCTGGACAGTGCTGCCATCACATCAATACCATGAAAACAGCGTTTGCTGTGGGTTCCACTAGATGGCCGGATAATTGAGGGTGCTATTAACTGGGCGGGTTTTACGGATGCATGGCCGCCCCGGCTAGAGGAGGGCAGCGAAAGAAAATAAGACAAAAAACGCAAATTACAGTGTGATTTTATGTATGCGCGGTGGGGTAGGAAGGAAACAAGGGAATCGGCAGCAAGTGCCTTTCGAAATTAACTCAGTTTCAATCAAAACACATGAATGTAATATGCGTCATTTCAATACGAATTGTTTCATGCTCAAAAACCGGTCGAGGAGTCTCGTGTATGGGCGATTTTTGTAGGTATACGCGTCGATCGTGTGTGGTGTGTTGAAACTCGAGTTACTATATTTTATTTTTCGATTTTTCTTTTATTTTCGCAAATTTCGTACGTATATTTTTTCCTGAATTTGTGTGAGTGCGTTGGTGTTGCGAAGATTCGAATCCGAAGGCGCGGTGCGCTTGCTGACCAAACTGGAGAATCGAACGGATAGAGACAAGGGGCGAGGATCCCCCGAAATGCTCGCTGTAAGTCGGATTTGTTATTTTCGGTTATAAAGAAACAGGCGTGCCAACCGAGCGCTTAAGGCCCCAAAACAGGCTTGCAACCTATCCAATTAAAACACCACTTGTCATTTGCTCTCAACGAATTAATGAATCACGCCGTTCGACTAATAGAGGCTGTACATGATTATTTTTATTTAAATTAATGAACACCAAGTTGGTTTAACTAGAAAAACTGATTTAAATCGTTGTGGATTCATTTTGATTAATGCTGTATTCACTTTTAAATAATATCTATTAAAAATTGTAGTGGAACTTTACACTATCTAAAAAATTAGCACCATTAATAAACCCTAATTTAAAATTGTTACTATAGTGTATAATTAGGTCCCCCAATGCTATTTTTTGTACTTTTTTGCAACAATATAAATTTAATTAGTCGATTGTTAACTTATTTTCATTTTTACTTAAGTACTTATAATGAGAAGGCCATCGCATTTTTGTAACTATTATTCGTTCCTGATGCAAAAAACTTATTATGTTTTAATTTTTTAATATATCCGTGTGCGTAAATAAGAAAAAATTAAAATATCTAGCTATTAACTATACCCAATCTCATACTGCTATTTGCTGTACTTATACATGATTACATTTTATATTGAATAGTATTTTTCAAGTTAAAAGTCGATAACATATGGCGATCAAAAAATTCCAATCCACTTCATTATATTTTAACGACCAATGACCATACCCATTTTTTCTGTAAAAAACGACCACACCAGGAAGTCTCCTTAATAAAACACGACGTTATCATGTTTAATTTGATATGTATACAGGCGCACTTAATCTGATTACATTGGATTATCTACGGTTATTTTACAGCAAATTTATTTTAATGAAATTAAAATCGAAGTGGGTATTTTTAAGCATTCGTTTTATTCATTTATGTGTGTACGTATACGCATTTCGAGTTATCGCTAATTAAATCAACCATTGTCGAAGCCCTTTTTGATTTTTTTTAATAATACCATTCGCCTTACCCCGTGCGAACGATGCCAATCTCTCTCAGTGCAGGCGAGTTCCTCATAACTGTCACAAAATTAAAAATAAACAATAACTGGATGAAAAAAAACCAACAAAAATCTGCAATATTATAATCTCTTGATCAACTCTATCTAAAAATAAAAAGTACCTATTATATTAATTGTTTGGTACATCTAATATTAGAGAGGGTATAGGAGGGAATTATGACGCTGGCAATCCTATACCTGCTTTTCCAGGAGCATTTCCCCGTTCCTGCGCCGCTGAGTTGCACCAAACATAATTATAAAGAAAATAATTATGTCGCCGGTCGAGCAGGTAACTCCACCGCAGCCGACTTACCGACCGAGCGAGTCGAAAAAACTTTTTTTTCTTCGAACTTCGAAGCATCGTAAAAGGAACACGTTTTCTAATCAAGCGGGTTCAAGGTGGAGTTAATTATCGATAATAATCGAAAGAGATGATCGATAATAATTTTTAATATTATTATAAAAAAATAATGTGTGCGCGATGTAGGTACACCGAGCGTGAGTTTTGTACGCTTACAATGCACCGGTGAAAACGGCGTTTATTAATTACAATTAAAAAAAATCGCAATTTATTTATTGTGTAAATTAAAAATTATCGTGTGTAATATATTGTAAGCTGGATTTATTGTGGCTGTAAATATTGAAAAAGCCTCTATCAAATTCAATTATGCGTCCATTTTTAGTACCGGTCGTAAAAAAATTAGGGAAATTATATGTAATTTACTTTAATCGAACATAAATAAATTATCCTCATTGATAATAATTTGTTTTTTTATTCTCGTATTGCATGCGGAATATAATATGTGTATCCATGTCTCTTGTACAAAAATGGCTACAGATAAATAATGTCATTATCTAATTCACGTACGATGATTTCGATTATATTATTAATAAACGGGATAATAAATTTCCGATTTGTAATTATATACCTTACGGTCCGACGAATTCGAATTTTCATTTTATTATTTCGCTAATTTCAAAATACTAATATTAAAACCAACTCGTGTTTAGGAATATGTAATTATTTTATTGTTAGTAAATCGTCGGAATTCGTTTATTATAATATTTTGGTCGGTTCAAATTAAATATTTTTATGATTTTGCTAATTTTATTTGCTATATTTGATGAAATATTTAGGTCAAATTATTTCTATTTGTTTGAGTGGGCCTAATTATTCCACCAACTCTTTCTGGCGATTAAAAGCATACAAATATGTGTGAGAGATTATTTAAAGTTAGATCAAATGTTGTAAATATTTTTAAGAAATTTCGAGATGGCGCAAAAAAATTAAATTTACATTTACCTACGCAATATTTTTTTTTGTCCTTAACAAGCACAAAATCAACGTGTACATGTGACGTTATGTAGGTTACTAAGACATGACGAACTTGTTATTTGTACAAAAACATCCTGCCTAGCCCTGAGGATGCAAATTACACAGCCGACCACGATATCTTGCAATTAAATCCTTGTTTTTATTATGTAAGACCGGAATGTTAGGTGGTCTTCATTAACTGCGAGCGTTTCGGTATCACGAACGCCAAGAAAATCATTAGATTTATTGATAAAAAAAACAGTAAAAATATTTGTTTTACGTAAATACCAATAACTTTAAAAACAGTTTATAATTAGTATAAAAACTCTCCAGTATATCTGATTGTCCACATCAGAGCAATCATTCCCGCAAGCAAAAGGTCATCAAATATTTACTCGATAAAAATTTTTAATGGCGCAAATTTAAATTTCTTTCACGGGAAAATTCGTAAACGAAACCGATTTCTTCCTCCGCATCGGGATAATCGAGGAGACCAAGACGACGATAAAAAAAACCACTAAAATTTTGTACGTTCATAACTCGGGGGCACGTGTGTGATCTCCACCCACATCGAATTATCGACGAGATCTGTGGAATTTTTTAATGTCGCTATTATTCGAGACCGGTAATGGTACAACACATCAACATCGCATTGTCTTCGTACGCCCGTCGTTCCTTTTCCTTTTGCTCTTATTGCTCCGAGACCGATATCCCGCCAGATAATTATTCCGACAACGAATTTTCGGGGGAATTATCGAAGAACTCGAAATCGAAATTTAGCCAATAACCACCCAAAAAACCGCCATCGAGTTCACCGAAAAAATTACTATAATATTCGGCGTCTAATATTGTTAATTGGACTGTGACTGGCACCAAATACTTGAATACTTTTTGTACAACAGTATTAGAGAGAAAAGTTATTATAATGACTATTTTTTTGCAGATTTTTTTAAGCCTAAAGGCATTTGAAATCAGCTTTAGAGTTGAAGACATCTTCATAGAGTTTTAAATCCCAAAAAAAAGCTTAAGGTAATAAATTCGCTGGAACTGTATCAAAATTAGTACATCAAGTGATGAGAAACTCGGTTTCTCTTAAACTTTGTCCATCTTTCTACCCCATTTGTTCATCTAACGCAATATTCAACAACCAAGCTACATTTGGTGAGGTACAATGTACATCCCCTCCTGCAAAATCTGACCGTAAATTCATACCGAAAACAGTAGCGCACTGCCAATACCAAACGCACCTATAAATCCCACCATCAAAACCCCCATAAAGTACACGTTTTAAACAATTCATCAATCAGCATCGATTCGGGCGATAAATTTCCGATTCTTCTCTCGATACGCGATCAATCAAAACCGGCGCTCGGTCCATCGGAATCGAGCATTCGACAAATCAAGCGAGCGATGGCGTAAAGGGGCCCACATCTCGAGCAGACGAGTGTGGCCGACACTGGGCAACAAACGCGGCGTCTCTCATTAATCCAATAGGACATGATCGAGTGCGCCGGGGCTTCTAATTGACAATGGACCGTCGCCGCGGTAGCGCCGGCGTCCCGCTGCGTCCCAGCGCTCCGGCACTGCG